CCAAAAATTTGAAAATCTTTCTTATTACTGTTTCTTTGTTTATGGTATTACATGTACAGGTATTCCAGAAACACTTTGTTAAAATCCATATTCTAAAAGTTGACAAAAAGTAAGTATAGGAGGTACAATCATTAAAACAGTGAAACAGGTTTTTTTCCCTCTCCTGAAAAATTTTGCTTACTGAGCTTTGAACAATCAAATGGCTTGCTGACAATGTCTATCTGAACTGTCCGAGTGTTAATATATCCACTCATCAGTAGAGAAAATTTACCAACAACAACTGTGTTAGAAAAACAATAATAATCTGTTATAGCAAGCGCATGTGCCACGCACACATGCACACAGGCACACAAACACACACACACACACACTCACACACACACACACACACACACACAAACACACAAACACAAACATATATACATCACTGCCATCATTCAACATTGAAGTAGGTGAAGTATGTCAAAATTTCAAAAAATAAAAAGGAAAAGTATGTTGTAGAGTTTGAAGAGGCGCATCGATCAATCACTGTCTTATTTCTCTTCTTAAAAAGGTAACGGATTTACACAAATTAAAGATTTTGCATTAAGGTAAAATGCTGCATGAAACAAAATATTTCTCCTTCTCAAACCTCAGATTTGACAAACGACAACGACAAATGATGGCGATCATATATATATATATATATATACACATACACACATTAATGTTCACAGCAGTTCCGTTGGTCAACTTAGGGGGTCACAGTTCAACCTCCAAGCACAAGATGAATCTTGTTGAGGGTAACCTTGACCTTAACTACCCACTATTTTTACAGTACACGCATGCTTCGTGACGAGGTGAACGGATAAACCATGAGTGACAAAGGCAAAGGAAAAGAGAGAGAGCTGAATTTACCAAACACACAAAAGAATCCTGATAGAGGGTGAATCAAATTTTGTAAAAAGCATTATAGAGAGTTTTAAAAAGGGCTCAAATATACATTAGTTTATTTTAAAAATATTACATTATTAATGATAGCAAATCTCCTTGGGAGAATGACGGAGTACGTTCAAAAAAAATTTAGCTGCTACTAAACCATAGAAGTTCCCCACAGCATCCCGTCACCAACACGTAGGTCTCTTCATCAACAGTCACTCAATATCTCTTTGGCTTTAAATTCTATGTTCAGTAGAATACACAAACTTAAGATGCTGTAAATGTCAACTGTCAGCATTCAACGATTGTCCTTCTGCTAGACTGAACTGAAATAAAATGTTGCTTTTTGTAAGAGCACTAAAAATTGAGCAGCGTGTATAAATGATAAGCAAATAATATACTTTTACTTCAGCCTACAGTATAAATAGCAATTTTCCATCAGTCTCTATAGAGAGGCTGCCAGCATCTCCCCAGCATGCCCCCGAAAAACACATCAGCTTTCGCTCTAATCTAATTCTGCCACTAACAAAAGCATACACTTCGTGCCTACCGATACAGACCAGAGTATCCACTTTCCCTTTCCAATTGTCCAAATATAAGTGCAAAATCCACCAGCATCAGCTCAGCAGAGAAAACTTGTCTCCGGTAGCCAGTGTTATAAAATGGCAAAGGTTTGACCCAAACCACAGCACTGATAAACCCACAGGGAAACATTCATCAACTGTTTAATAAAATCTTTTACAACTGCAGTTCAATCTCCCCAAAAATATCAGGGTACACTGTAAGAAGCAAGGGTTGGTAAATGTACATAGATTTTTTTTAAAGTTTCACCTCAAGAATGAGGAATAGCTTTTTTAAAATCTAAATTTACCTTGAAGGCATCTCTTTTGAAAGTACAGGAGGAACACATTTTTCATGTCATTCTAGCACATATATTTTCTTTCAAGTAAGCCTCACAACATATTAAAACTAATGTCTTAGCATTAAGACTTTATACAAATATTAAAACATGCCCAATCCAGTACAGTTTTCAGTGCACCCCATGTTGCCTTGAAGTAAGTATTCTCTAAGCATCCTGCAACTTAAATTAAGAAAAAAAAAAGACAAAAGTAGCAGCTCACTATGGTCCCAGACGTTGCCACATGTACAATGATCACGGCAAGTAAGAAAGAGACTTCTCTTGAGGTTCTTGAAGCTTCTACATTTACCATTTACAACATTCACACCGACACAGACATACATCACTTGAACCTCTTTACAATACCCAATGAAAATGAAGAGGTCCAAAAATCCTGCACCCTGTCCAGCCTCAGTCCAATTGAATCAAGCCCTTGGGCACTTTGATGGATACGGAACCAAGAAAGATCAATGAATTCTGGACCAAATAGTACATGAGCAAGGCATTGATGGCCTAATGGCAAAGCTACCAGGCTCGTAATTGTAAAATACTGTTTTGGGATCAATGCTCCGCTCAGTCTAATGTAATGTCCTTGGGAAAGGCAGTTTACACAAATTTTCCCATTTGGCTCCGTCCTGGAGTTGGATGTTAAATTTAGAGGACCCAGCTCTTAAATAACCTAACAATATTGCAAGGGGTACCTACACAATTTCGCAATTTTTCTAACACGATCACACAAGGCAAATAAGTTGTACAAAAGCGCAATCTGAATCCTGTCTCCTCACCTGCCCGCCAGTTAGCAAATGAAAAAGTGACAGCAGCTGAACCTTTCGGATGGAGAGGTTTAAGCCTCAAGATTTCCCTGAACACATGTAACAGTAGTCGTACCAAAAAAAAAAGAAGTTAACAACTATACAAACAGCTCCGTGGCAAAACCAGTTATGCAGTAGTCAAACAAAAATTTTTTTTGTTTTTTTGTTTCTTTTCCTATCTCTAACACTACAATTAGAGAACCATTTCTTTCCGTTCCCAAAATGTCGGAAAACCCACACCCCCCTTGACAGTGAAAAATACACTCTGTGAGGCACTGTGGAGAATCAGGCACTCGTCAAAATAATGAAATTGAAGAAACCATCAATTTTCCGCTGGTGTGGCCATTTATATTAAATTTGAGTTTTTTAGCTCAATGCTTTTTATATCCCTTTAAAATCATTTATGGGTGGATATTACAACAACAACAAAGTAATTAAAGTAAGAAAAAATTTTAATTTTCAGTTTCCAAATGCTTTCAGGCTATGGAAGTCACCAAACTTTGGCAGCCATTTCCTCATTAATTTTACCTCTGAAACCAGGCGACCCCCCACCCCAAACAATCACAAATATCTCAACTTCTATTCTAAATAGATGGGAATATTTTTCTTCCAAAACACAACAAATAAACAAGTTTTAAGATGACACCAGCAACTCCACATGCCTAAAAATTGACAAGCGTCTGATTCCACCGTGTTGTGACATATTTGGTTTCAGAACATGTTTACAAAAACAGAGCGCAACTGTCCGCCAGCCTGTTTTGTCAGGGAGCCCTTCACATACCACCTGCTTCTTGGCCAAACTATCTGTCTCAAAATATCATTAAAAATGACTCATAACCAAATGATTTTACTTCCAAAAACACACATCATGATAATGTCAAACACGTTGATGAGTTAGCACTGCCCCCCCCCCCCCCCCTTTCCCATCCCAGTCCCTGAGTGTTAATAGGAGATGCATAATACTAATATAATCTTAATTTCATTCTTCTTCCCTGTCCCCTCTTCTCTCTTTCTGAGTTGGGTGTTGTTTGGGGCCACAAGACTGACCCGTCAATAAATGTCACCACCCAAGTCAAAGAAGCAAATTCTTCTTCTCCTTTTTCTTCTTCTCTTCATCATTATCATCATTATTATTACTATCATTATTATTATTATTATTATTATTATTATTATTATAACTATTATTATCATCATTGTTATTATTATACTATTATTATTATCATCATCACTATTAATATGACAATTTATGCTATTCCTAATCTCACTGTTATCACTGTTGCTGTTGTTCTTCCTCGTGTGAACACAGGTGAAAGCGATAATGACGCATATAACTACTGCTTAAATAAAGGCAATAAGCATGATGATGATGACAATGGCGATGGACGATGTACTGAGGTTTGCGAGAAAAACTTCCTTCAATAATAATATAATGAAATTGAAAGTACTCAAATAAACTTGGCAACCACATAGAGCTGCGAACCGCATGAGGTGATCGCCAAACTGCAAGTATTGTCTGCTAGCAACAGAAAAATGAGATAGTGGAGCATTTAACTGAAGTAACGTAGCTACTCAACATCTTCACCTGAGCAAAAACATCTGACCCTGTGACTATTACACATCATAAATCGTACAAAACTTAAACGGACAACTTTTTCTCTACAAACCACTTTTCCGCATCTCCTGTAAAATGTATCGATTGTAAGAGAGTAGGTCTGGCATGAAACAGACAAGGTGAGGATGACGGAGGAGATAACAAAGTGTTTCTATTTCGTTAAAACTTGCATTTATAGGAAATATTTACAAAGACAACAAACATCGGTGGAAAGAGCATTAACAAAAGGAATACACAAATGGCAACAGTAACAGTGACTCAGACAGCGACTGAGCCACTAGAAGGATCATAAAAAAATTCTTGTCAAGATTAACAACAACTTCTTTAGATGAATTCTTAACATCACCAGATTTAAGATTATCTGCAGGCATTCAAGTACAAAGATTCAAACCTGAGAAAACACACACACAAAAAAAAAATCATTAACACCTGGACTCATTTTCTCCCCAGCTATGCCAAATCTTTTATCCATACACAGTTCTCATAAATTTGGCCATTCACTTTCAACATATATGCAGCATCGTGCTGAAATCAGGTGCTCCTCAAAATAATAAAATTGAAGAAACTGACATTTTCTGCCCATTGGGCAATTTTTTTACTTTTTAGGGGAGGGGGGAGGTGGGAGGAGGGGGGGGGGTGTCAACACCTCTTATGTCCTTTTAAAATCATTTCTGTGTGGATTTTACTTCTTTTTTTTTTAAATTGCACAAGGGCACAAAAAATGTTAAGCTGCAGTTTCCAAGAACACTCAAGCTTCGGAAGTCACCAAACTTTGGCGGCTATTTTCTCGCTAATTTTTACCTCTTACATTTCCTTATATCTCAAATATCTCTACTTTTATTCAAGATAGGCGGGGGGGGGGGGAATTTTTTCATCAAAAGTAAGACAAACGAACAATTTTTAAGACGATAGCAATAACTCCATATGCCCAAAATTGACAAGCATCTGATTCCACTGCATCGTGACACATATATGTGAAACACTCACTGCTATCAGTAAAGAAAGCATTGGTATTCAGATCATAGAATTGTTCAGAAACCACTTCACCTCCACATTGAATGCCTGCTCATCTCATTTAGTTCATCGAGTCCAACTGTTCAGCACTCTTGCTGTCTGTGAGGGTAGTCGTATGCCTCCCATTCATTTACTAAGAACAACCATCACTTGTTTATTGATGTGCCGAACTGTTCTAAAGACAGAAAATGCAGTCAATTTACCCTTTAACTTTCACACAATGTAAAAGGTTGCCACCACTATCGTCTCACAGACAGTCCATACAAATACTTTTAGGGCAAGCAACACTGATGAAAAAAATAGTTTCAATTGGGTAAACATCTCCTCTTTCCAGATGAGAGACTAGAAGGGTGAAAACACTTGATCACAAATAGACCAGCCGCTGCTCCCAAACTGACACAAGGAATCCATCGCACACGCATACCACCCACTGCCCTTCCTTGCACGCCAACCAGCTATTCACACATCTCATAGAGAAACAGCCTGCATTATCTCACTGCAGCGGTCAAGTTAAAGTATTTCCGGCACAGATTGTGGTCTCTGAGATCTCCCCAGCCTCCATTGGGCTTGGGGTCGCGCAGTTTGAGTCGCGAGTCGCCTGCCACCGACACCATATTGGGGTACAGGTGTTTGTGGTTCTCTGCCAGTTTTGTCTCCACCTGCCTCACTTTGGCCTTGGGGTCGCAGTTTTTGGATTTCTTGTGCATTCCGCTGTCATAGAAAAGACGAAAAATGTTACAACCCTCAATACAGAAAAAAAAATTTTCACTGACTTGTTGACAGAGGCTGCAGTTAAAGATGCTGTTTTTCACCTACAAACAAATTAGTGAGAGAAAGCTAACGTTTTCTAACGTAAAACCTAAACAACAGAATTCTCAATACTAACTAAAAGTTGTTTTTTTAAACCCATTAATCTTTCTGCTCTAAGCAAGCAGAAAATATAAGCTAAGCTGGCAAATGTGATGAGCAGCATCTCAGAACGAGGTTAACCCTATGTCACTGCACTTTTAATCCTAGAACAAACAGGAAATATGAAAAGAATTAAAACGCTGCATCAAATTCTTTTCAGTAAATATGAAACAAGCATGCTTTTTGTAGTAAAATATGTAAGCTGTGGGACAAAATGGCTCCCTGTGTTCATATAAATAAAACTGAGTTCAGCATAGACAGAAATGCATGAAGTAGAACTACAGTCCATCCACACAGACATCTTATCAGATTTTATCAGGGAATAAGTCAATCTATAAAATTCAGAAAAGCAAGCCATTTTCACCACACCAATAATATTTAAGAGCTTTTCAAAAATAATTCGATGCTGATTTTTGTCTCATTTGACGTGTTGGCTTTCACTGCTAATAAAACTATAATGCAGACATGAACAGCATACAAAACAATTTTTACTGAAATCTCACCGCACAATTAAAACAGAATTGAAACTCCCTGTACACTGATCAAATTCAGTGAAATATTACTTCCAACTCTCAGATTCTAACCAAACAAATCCAACCCCATGTTCCAAATTACCAATACTGGGCCTTGCTGTGGTGCCTAGAACTTAACCAACATCAAATGTTAGTAGATTTCTCCTGCAGGAAGAAATCAACACCACATAATTTGTCCCAAATACACATGTTAAAAAAATTTGTTTTAAAAAAAAGAAATAAAAGAAATAGCAGTTCTCACCATTCCCCTACGTGGAAAATTCTGGAAGCCTTCATAACAAGCAACCGGACCTTGTTGGGGATGCACTTCATGCTGAGGTGCTGTAAGGTCCAGTCCCAATTGTAGTCATCAAATGAGCAAAATTCCTGTCATAGAAAAACAAAGCACAAATCTCAAAAAAGTGCTCTCAGCCATGATAATAGTATGCATTTTGTACTGAGTGAGAGAGTTGAATCCTCTCTTGAACCACTTTCAATACCACTGTGTCAGAGCCAGAAGGTATCTTCGAACAATTATCACCAAAAAAAATAAGGCCCAAGGAGAGAACCGGATGAAAGTGTCTACTTTTGCCACTCACGACTGCTCGGACAAAGTTGCCACACTTTCACTGCTACACGAATCGATCTTCAACTTCACTCAGATTATATATCAGGCTCTACCCAGTTATAAAATTATGTTTAAAAAGAAAAGGTTTCAATTGCTCTGAACCTTTTATCCCTAGACACAAGAACTTTGAGCTCTGGATGAAAAAAAGGAGATTTTGAAGTCCACATGAGATTATAAACTTAACATTTGAAAAGAAG